AGTTGGAGTCTCACTCTGTCGCCCAGACTGGAGTGCAGTGGCCACTCCCTGCCGGCCACCGCAGCCTCGACCTGCTGGGCTTCGGCAATCCTTTCGCCTCAGCCTTCCAAGTAGCTGGAACTACAGGCACATGCTACCACGCCCGGCTAATTTTTTGATTTACATGATGGTTGTATGGCATATCTTTCTACTTTTGACCTACCTATGCCATTATATTTGAAGTGTCTTGTCAACTGCATATACACTGTATAAATTTTTTAATTGGTGAATTCAGACCTTCTATATTTAAAGCAACTATTAAAATGTAATTATCCTAGATATGTCCTCTACAGGTATTGGGTACCACGTCAGATGGTATTATGATTTTTGCTTCAACCATCAAATATGACTTAAGAAACTTATGAGAAGGACAGCCTACTATATGTACCCTTCTTCTTACCCATTCTGTTCTGAATTTCCAAACACTCTTTTGTCATCATTTCCTTGGAGAATTTCCTTTACCCATTCTTTAACAATAGGTCTGCTAGTGTCAAATAATCTTACTTTCGTTTAATAATGTCTTTATTTTCTTTTTATTCGTAAGTATATCTTTGCTGGATATACAATTTGTGATTGATAGTTCTTTTCTTTCAGCACCTGAGAAATGTTCCTTTTCTTACTGGCCACCATAATTCCAGAAGAGAAATCAGCTGTCATTAAACCTGGTATCTCTATGAGAATATGCTGTTTCTCTCTAGCTTTCTTCTATAGTTTTTTCCCAGAAAATTGTGATGTGTCTTCTCATATTAATTGGGATTTATCCTGTGTAGAATTTACTCACCTTCTTGAATCTGTAAGTTCATGGCTTTCACCATGTTCAACTTTGGGAAAATTTCAACCATTATTTCTTTCAGTGTTTTTCTCAGCTCCACAATCTCCCTCCTCTCTTTAAACCACCCCGACTAGGGAATTAAAGTACCACCTGATTTTGCTGGGCTGTGGTGACATCACCCTGATATACACCTTGCTTTAGCTGAGCAGGGAATGGATGTTCAGCTTCTATTCGCCTCTGTTGACAGCACCCCAGCAGTAGAACTCAAATGCTGCTGCTTCCTCTGAGTAGGGAATGGAGGAACAGTTCACCATTCAGCTTGTGGATACCACCCCAGTAGAGGAACCAGAGTACAACTGCCTCTTCAACAGGGTTGATGGGAGGGCAGTATTTCTTCTGGTGTTTGACAGGTATTAAAATGGCTTGGTTTTGGCTGGGTATGGTGGCTCATACCTGTAATCCCAGCACATTGGCAGGTCTAGGCAAAAGGACTGCTTGAGCCCAGGAGTTTGCAACCAGACTGAGCGACATAGCAAGACCTTGTGTCTACAAGAAAATTAAAAAATTAGTCGGGTGTGGTGGCATGTGCTTATAGTCTCACGAGGCTGCTGTAGGAGGATCACTTGAACCCAGCAGGCCGAGGCTGCAGTGAGCCATGATCATGCCACTGCATTCCAGGCTGGAAAACAGAGTAAGACCCTAACTAAAAAAAAAAAAAAAAAAGTTCTGGTTCTTTTAGAACTTCCTTTTCCTATTCCTTTGGCTAGAAGAAACAGGCTTTTCTTGAAGCTTTTGTTTTCTGTCCCTGCTGGTTACCTCAGGCTGTAGACTCCTTTGGCATCCCACTCAAGATATATATGGGAGCCAAAAAAAAAAAAAAAAACTCACCACTGAATTGCTCCTCACATACCACAGTCCATAAGTTAAAAAATTCTATGTTGAAAGATTTCAACAGTAAGTCAAAATAGTTAGGCCTGGAGTATGATTGTAGTCCTGAATTCCGGCCTAGTGCAGTATTTCAGAATAGCATATAAAAGATGGAGAACGTACTAACCAAATACTTAGTCACCTTTTAATCAAACCAGTTTCACCAAAAACTTAGAATTATAAGATCAGAATATAAGGGCCTGTATGCTACAAATAATTAGGATGTTAATATATTTTTTGAGGATTCCAAAATTAACCTAGGTAAAACACAATCTAAAAAAAAAAAAAAAAAAGTCTGTCATGACGGCTCCTTTAGTATAATCAGGAAAAAGAAATGCATATTATGACTCCCACACCTCCTCTCTATTCATGCAAATCATTTTCTACTTCCCTAGCTAATGCTTACAAACCTTCTACAAAATGCCTGAAAAATGTGCAACACCTCCAACTATAGACAACTCTTCAAAGCTAAATGTCTGCTCTGTAGTTATTCTTTTTCAGTACATTAAAGGTGAAATGAAAAAAAAAAAGCTGCTAAAATTTTCTCTGGAAACATACTCACCCAACACCAACAAAGCCTTCACCAGGCTTGGTGATGCTGTCCTGCCACTTGGCCTTCTGTCCCACACGGAGATGGTTGACCTGTCTACATAAATCCTGGAGAAAAGGCAGCAAATCAGAGTTAGGTATATTTGAGTTATCATTTGCTTTCTTTGGTAAGAAAGAGGACACCGCATTTCTAATCTCATCTTCAAGGTTTTGTGGTACAATTTTATACTAGTCGAGCTTTGTCGTAGTCCCTCCACCAGGTGGCTGTGTGCTCTTATCAATGTAAGTGCTTAAGGCTTCCAGATGTCCATCCAGATGTCCATCCAGATCTAAATGGAAAAAGTTTGGAGGACGACTTGTCTGAGGCTCCCAAGGCAGATGATGTTTGTGGTCCAATCATATACTTATATCCAGGATTGCCCAAAATTGACTGCAGCTGCTCTCCAAATGGGAAGACAATTCTAAAAAAGGTAAAAAGGCACATGCAAATGTCATTAATATTGATGGCTCACTTCTGGAGTAATTACTATGAGTCAGGTAGTGTGCATTCTTTCACCTGATCCTCAAAACATCCTTATGAAGTAAGCTACTATTATGCCAACTTAATAGTTGAGGAGACCAAGCTAAAGGTAACCTGGCCAAGGTAACCAGCTAGTAAGTGGCAGAACTGGGATATGAACCCAGGCTGCTTAACCCCACAGTCAAAGATTTTAATAATTTCACAGTTTTTCCTAAAAATATATTAAAATAAAACTAAAAAACTTAGTAAAATTGCCTTGGCATATTTCAACGTTTTTACTACAAAGGCCTCTTTGATGTATGGTGATAAAACGTAGTACTCCCAACTGAATCACAAAAATTAATAATTTTCTTAGAATTAAATATCATCATGAACTTTCAAAATATGGTAAGCCACTGTAGGCATATCTTTTGCAACTAGTTTCTTTTTCATAGAAGATACAACAGAAGATGCAACTGAAGTTTGATGTTCTATGAATATATTTGTCACATTTTCAATCACTTAAATGAGCTACATTTGGCTGTGTCTGCTTCAACAATTTGTACGCTAAAAGGATGACTTTTAGTAGCCTCAACTCAACTGACTATGCTGTATTATTTCTTAAGTTTCTGGTCCACCTTTAAGACATTACACGGTCTCTTGTTCAGGAGCATGTCCCGCTGTGCTCTGTAATTTTTCCACTAAAGAAAAACAAAACTATCTCTAGCCCCAAGCAACTTTAAAAAAAAAAAAATAGTTTCCCTGGATGAAAAAGTCCCCAGAAGGAAAGATTTTGGCTGGTGTGGAAGAGGTGAAACAAAAAATAGCAGAAGTACTAAAAGACATCAAAACTAACAAGTTCAAAAACTGTTTTGAGTAGTAGAAAAAGCATCTTGATAGGTGTATTGCATCAAATGGAGAGTACTTTGAAGGTGGCTGAAGTTTAAACATGTAAGAATACACAAGTTTTTATAAATAAATTTGTTTTCTGGGGATCCCACCTAGTATTTACAACACTTCAGCATTTTACTCAGGAGGCTTAGGTAGGAGGATTGCTTGAGGCCAGGAGTTCAAGACCAGTCTGGACAATATGGTGAGACCCCCATCTCTACAAAAATAAAAAAAAAATTTAGCCCAGGCGCATGTACCTGTAGTCCCAGTTACTTGAGAGATTGAGGTGGGAGGATTGCTTGAGGCCAGGAGTTGAAGACAGCCGTGAGCTGTTTTGTGTCACTGCAATCCAGCCAACAGAGGGAGACCCTGTTTCTAAACACACACACACAGGCCAGGTGCGGTGGCTCATACCTGTAATCTCAGTACTTTGGGAGACCAAGGCCGGAGGATCACTTGAGGTCAAAAGTTTGAACATAGTGAGACCTTGTCTCTGTAAAAAAATTAAAAAATTAGCTGGGCATGGCAGTATGTGCCTGTAGTCCCAGCTACTTGAGAGGCTGAGGCAGGGGGATCCCAGACCCCAGAAATCAAGACTGTGGTGAGCTGTGATTGTGCCATTACACTTCAGCCTAGGCAACAGAATAAGGCCCTGACTCAAAAAATAAATACGCACATAAATAAAAAAAAGTGAATATTAACTATATATTTAAAAATAAAAATAAAATTAGACAACTCTCCTTCAAACAAAAGGAGCTTTACTTAATCATAATGGCAAAGCTCTGTTATTTTGGGTAGTGGTATCTAATACTTCAAAAAAACTTAAAATGGGAAATTCTTCATAAACAGCAATCAGATTTGTATGGAATCAACCTCAAAAATTGTACATGACAACTAATTTGGCAGAAATTTTAATTAGAAAAATCCAAATGCAAACAAAGTATTTGCTATGTGAGCTTTTATTTTTTGGATACACCATATTTTGGAGATTTATAAGGCATTTATAATGATAAACATTAGTCATGTTTTCTCAGATGAAAAGTGGTTAGGTGATTTGTTTTGTTTGTGGTAAATATCAAGACATTCACAAGTAAGTCTATACGGCAGTACAGTAAATGAAACCATCTTAGATGTAGGTACCTATTCCTCTGCTTCCTTTTGTTTAATTTTATTCACTTCTGAATTTTCTTGTGCTGTCATATGTTGCCTTACAAGATGTCAAATTCTTTAAAAAGTACACAGAAGAATATGTACTAAATAATGTAAAGGACCTATTGTCCATATAATTCTAATAATATAATCTTTGTCCATATAATTCTACTTTTAGGAATCTGTACCAATATGTGTAGAAGTGTGCAAAAATGAATGGACAAGGACAAATGTCTTTCTTGCAGGGCTAATCATACAAAAAATTAAGTATCCTAAAAGTCATTAATATAGCGTTGATTAAATAAGTCTAAATACTCATAAAGTGGCATGCTATGTAGTCGCTAAAAAGGGCATGGGGATACACTTATCGTTTAGGACGTGGTTCACATCATGTTAGTGGAAAACGATTACAGAGCAGCATACAAGAACATGATAAGTATTTATGCAGAATTGTGTCCATATACCTCTCTGAATATGCAAAAACTGTATATGTGTGTGTGTGTGTGTACATGTCATTTCATATATGTGCACACTCCCCCACATTTCTGAAAAATTAAGTTCTTGCAGGATTTCTGAAAGGATTTTTCTGTTTTTTTCTATAAAATATTCAAACCTATATTATTTTGAAAAAAGCAAGAAAAAAAGCTATTTTTATTTTGAAGGTGACAAAAGCAAAGTGCAAATCGAATAACTGAACATATTTTCTTTGAGAAAATGGGGTACCATTTCATTAACATTAAAGGGCAGTAATGTACTCACATTATATACAGATATATATTTTATGTAATATAAAAATAACTATATATAAAATTTGTGCATACATGTTATATTAATATATAAATATATGTACACATTATATTTTGATAACTGAATTTCGATTCAATTATCTTAAATTGTGAAAGCAAAAACAAAGTCAGCAATCTGAACATCAGCTACAAGAAAATAGGGAATAAGCTTGCCATCTATTGAGCTATCATGAAGGTTTGGATTGCGTTTCAGGCTCATATGACTCAGTACTGAACTGTAATACTCTGAAAACAAATAATCTTAAGGCACAGATGAAGCTGGGAGAGACCAAGTACTCTAACACAGCTTCCCAGGTCCTTCCTTCCTCAGTCAGGACAGGTCCTGCCTCGGCAATGTGCATGGTTATACCACATGCACAAGATGTTTTGGTCATAAAATATCCTATTTTATAATCAGATAGTTACACATCTTATATGACATTTTCCAGGGAGACAACACATAGATACCTGGATTGTTAACTCTAAAATTAAAGGCTTTCTTACTAGGAAAGGAGTCGTTTATCTGAGTGCTTAAAAGATTTAACATTCTTCCCTTCTCAGGGTATCTCCCAAATGTCTCAAATATAATCATTTAGTATGTGGCAAGGGAGAGCTGGTTAGAACACAATGTGTGTGAGAGGTATGTATGTGTTTTCTTTTTCGAGTTGGAGTCTCAATCTTCGCCCAGACTGGAGTGCAGTGGCACACTCACGACCACCGTAGCCTCGACCTGCTGGATTCAGGCAATCCTCCCACCTTAGTCTTCCAAGTAACTGTAACTACAGGCACATGCCGGCATGCCCAGCTAAGTTTTTGATTTATTGTAGAGATGAGGTCTCGCCATAATGCCCAGGTTGGTCTCGAGCCCGTGGGCTCAGGCAATCCTCTCACCTCCACCTCCCAAAGTGCTAGAATTACAGGTGTAAGCCACTGCACCTGGAGAATGCATGTTTCTATATGCACAGAAAACTCTAGAAGGATACAGTTTACACTCCAAAAATATACTATGCATAAGCCTCACTTAGGAATGCTTATTTAAAATACTGATTTCTGGATCCCATCCTCCAGGGTTCAGGGCATATGGTGAGGGCCAGGATCTACATTTTATAAACATTTTTAAGGGACTTTGATACAAGGCCTCAGTGTTTAGGACTTGCTTGTGAGTGAGAACACACAGTATTCAGTTTTTTGTTTCTGTTAGTTCACTTACACAGATAGTCTGCAGTTGCATTCATGTTGGTGCAAAGGACATGGTTTTGTCCTTCTTTATGGCTGCGTAGTATTCCATCATGTACATGTACCATATTTTCTTTAACCAACCCACTTTTGATGGGCATTTGGGTTGGTCCTGTTTTTGCTATTGGGATAAGTGCTGCAATAAACATTCGTGTGCAAGTGTGTTTTTGGTAGAGTGATCTATGTTCTCTCTAGGTATATTCCCAGAAGAAGGATTGCTGGGTTGTATGGTAGCTCAACTTTAAGTCTTTGAGGAAATGCCACATTGCTTTCCACAAAGGCTGCACTGAGCTTATATTCCCGCCAACAGTGGTGTTCCCTTTTCTCTGCAGCCTCATCAGTACCTATTATTTTTTGACTTTTTAATGATAGTCATTCTGACTGATGTGAAATGGGATCTCATTGTAGTTTTGATTTGCATTTCTCTGATGAGTAGTGAAGCTAAGAAATTGTTTCATAAGTTTGTTGGCTGCCTGGATATCACCTTTGACAAGTATCTGTCATGTCCTCTGCCCACTTTTTTTTTTAGAATAGCAGTTCATTTTATGTCTATACCATGTTTTATTTATTTATTCATCAGTCGGTGGACATTTGGGTTGCTTCCACATGCTGGCTATTATGAACAATGCAGCCATGAAAATTCATATACAAATTTTTGTGTGGCCTTATGTTTTCATTTTTCTTAAGTATATCTCTAGCAGAATTGCTGGGCCATATGAAAACTTTCTACGTACCCTCTTGAAAAACCGCCAGCCTGTTTTCTATAGGGGCTTCTTCTGTGGTATTTTAACCACAAACTGACCTGGGACCGAGCCATATGGGTCTTGGTATGATACAGGTACCATAAATGCAGGCACAGGTACTCAGGCTATCCATCGGGATGTTCTCACATGGGTGGATTTGTACTGAAGCCCTGCCATAATCCATTCACACTCGGAGCAGCTCGAGAGCCTCATTCTGTGCCTTCACTCTTGAATAAAGCAAAGCAGAGAGGACTCTGAGAAAGATGGGCACTCAGGAGATGGCGACCTGGTTTCGTCACTGATGACTCATTACAATTTCATACATCTGGTCAATGCCACTAGCCTGCATATTAGAGTTCAGAAGCGATTCTCACATATAAATTCATGTCCAGCTTGTAGCAAGTGAAAGGCTTGGCCATGGCCATCCCTTCAATATGCAGAAATCCCAACCCATCTGAAAGCTTCTCTTATATGTGATGATGGTGGAACAGATGACACACTTCTTTCTCAAGAAGTCATTCAGGATCAAGTCCAAGTTTCTAATAATATTGTGTCTCCTTGTTTTTGAGACTAAAATGAGGATGAGGCAGCACACCTGAGCCCACTCACTGGAGTGCAGTTTCATGGGGTATGACGCTCAGCTCACCATTCTTAGTTTTTACCAGATCTTCCCGAACTCCAATCATGTCTGCGTGAGGCACCCTATGTGATGTGCATCAATTCTTCTGACTTATAACTCCTTGGGCTGGCCATGACCTGCAAGTTGACCTGAGTCCTCGGAGGTCACAGAAGGTGAGCTTCCCCCAGAGCCCTCTGGCAGGGACCCCGGGGTGATGTCAGTTCCACAGTGCCAGGTCGCGGGCAGCTGCGTTCTTGGATGAAGCGAGTGAGACATCCCAACACAAAGAACCCCACAGTGTGTGTCTTTCTGTGGGCTGCGGTGTGGCTCTCAAAGTTTCTTTTGTGTCCACTGTCCCGATGTGGCCGGAGGCAGCAGCCCGGCCCTGCTTAGCTGCTGCTCGCTGCTGTGCGGACTTCACTCTCGTCAGCTCGGGCTCACAGTCCAACCACTTTCACTCCTGCGCCCTGAGGACTTGTCCTTTTCCTGGACTCTTCGAAGCCCCTCCTTTCCTGGGGAGAGAAAAGAGAGAAAACACGGGCACTTCCCCATGTGGCGCAGGCAGGGCGTGGGGTTTGTGCCCTGCATCACTGCTGGCCCACTTGAGGTGGTGGCTGAGGCCACGAAGAGCTCTTTTTTAAAAAAAAATTTATTATAAAGATGTGGGGTACATTTCAGTGTTAGGTATATAAACATTGATTATGCCGGTACCTTTGTTGATGATGTATGTCCCTCCCTCCCCTAGCAGTTTCCCTCAACTGCCAATCCCACCCCACCCTCCCCTGACAGTTCCCTACTACTGTCAGTCACTGTCGTATAGCATTATAATTGTTCAAGGTCTGTTTATGAGTAAGAACATATGGAACTCTGTTCTTTGATTCTGTGATAAATCACTGAGTATGATCGACTCCAAATCCATCCAAGTTGCTGCAAAGTCCATATATTTGTCCTTCTTTATGGCTGCATAATATTCCATCGCGTATATGTGTTACATTTTTCTTTTATCCAGTCCAGCTTTGATGGGCAACACAGTTGGTTCCATGTTTTTGCTATTATGAATAGAGCCACAAAAAACCTATGTGTGCAGGTATCTTTTTTGTAGAATGATTTGAGCTCCTCTGGGTATATTCCCAATAGAGGAACTGCTGGCTCATATGGAAGGTCAATTTCTAGTTCTTTCAGGAATCGCCACAGTCTTCCAAAGAGGCTGCACCAGTTTGCATTCCCACCAGCAGTGTAGAAGTGTTCCCTTTTTCTCCACATCCTCACCAGCATCTGTTTTATTTATTTATTTGTTTGTTTGTTTGTTTTTGAGTTGGAGTCTCACTCTGTCGCCCAGACTGGAGTGCAGTGGCCGCTGCTGGTCACCGCAGCCTCGACCTGCTGGGCTCCGGCGATCCTTCCGCCTCAGCCTTCCAAGTACTGGAATTACAGGCATGCGCCACCACGCCTGGCTGATTTTTTGATTTATTGTATAGATGAGGTCTCGCTGCCCAGGCGGGTCTCGAACCCATGGGCACAGGCAATCCACTCACCTCAGCCTCCCAAAGGCGCAGGATTACAGGCTGAGCCACTGAGGCCGGCTGTTGTTTGTTTTATTAATGATGGCCATTCTTACAGGGGTTAGGTGGTATCTCAATGTGGTTTTGGTTTGCATTTCTCTGATGATGAGTGAGGCTGAGTGCTTTTTCGTGTGTCTGTTGGCTCCCTGTATATCTTCTTTTGAGAAGAGTCTATTCATATCTTGCCCACTTTTTAAAGGGGCTGTTTGTTTTTTTTTCCTTTTGGCGTGTCTGAGTTCCTTGTAGATCCTAGATGTCAGGCCTTTGTTGGATAAACAGTTCTCTGCCCGCTTTTTAATAGGACTATTTGTTTTTTCCTTGTCAATATGTTTGAGTTCCTTATAGATTCTGGATGTTAGGCCTTTGTCAGATAAATAGCTTGCAAATATTTTTTCGCATTCTGTGGGCTGTCTCTTTACTCTCTTCATAGTTTCTTTTGCTATGCAAAAAACTTTTTAGCTTGCTTGTCTCTAACATTCTTGAAACAAACCCACTTTACCCTGGGTACCTCCACAATGGAATATACATATATTACCTAATCCCTCAAAAATCTGATGTCCAACTCCTTGCTATTCAAACTGTCCCCTGAAAAATCTCCAAAAAGTACTTTATGGATAATCCAAAGGGTAAATTTACTGTATACTCATTCAAAGCCATAAACAAGAAAGACTAGGTCACTGTTTGCACAAAGCTTACATTTTAATGAGATAAACAGACCAATACATATACAACAATAAAAACAGTCAAGAAGGCTCTGACAAAAATTGATTTGGAGGGAAAGTCTACTTTAAACAGGGTGGTTGGAGAAGATGACATTGAGGATGTAACATTTAACCCAAAATCTGCTGAGAAAGAGTCAGTGATGCCAAAAGCTAGCATAAGAAATCAGTTACCAGTACAGTGATCCTGAGTGGGAACACATTTAGATAGCTGGGGAATACACACATCAGAATGTCTGGAGCAAGGTTCCCAAGGAAATAAGGCAGATGAAGTGCAGGAGGCAAGCAGGGCCAACATTTGAGAGGTCTGGGTAAGGAATCAGAATTACTTCTAAGTGTGAAGGGAAGCAATCAGAGAGCTTTACACAGGGAAAGGATGAGATCTATTTACCCTTTGAGGACATTCTGGGAACACTGTGGAGACTGGGTTGTAACAGAGCAGGAGAACCAGTTAGGAGCTTTCTGAGCTACCCAGGTGTGATAATGGCGGAGGAGGAAGAAAAGTACAGATTGCCTTCTTTTTTTTGAAAGTCTCCTTGCTGTGATCTCCATAATCTTCAACTCCTTGCTTCTCTTGACTTTGACCAGACTCCAGTATTTGTAAACCTCACAATATTTAAAAGGAATTCTTTACTTAAATCATTTAAATTTTTACATCAATTCTGTGGCTTTTATAGTATGATCATTTCAATTTTCTACTTGAAGAATTCATATGAAAAATATATGAATCAACTTGCCAAAGGATGCAGAGCCTAATGTGACAGGACAAGAACTTGAAGTCACTCCCTTGACATCAGATCCTTACTCTCTTGCTCCCCTATCACACTGCTGCCTCCTATCCTCTGGTTCCCTCCTTCTCTCCCTATGTCCTTATCCAGTGCAGCTATGCTCCAAGGGTCTTTCTTCCTTGCTTCTGTCTCTCCCTTCACCATGCTGTCTGTCAGCTACTATGGTAGATCCCTCCCAGTCACTGAAGGGTCACTTCTCCCAATTCTGTTTCCAAAAACTGCCAACATCCTTCCAGGTAAGGTCTTGTTCACAGCAAAAACTCAATATTCCCCAATTAAACTCCTTTTCCCCTAATTGTTCTCCTCCTGTGGATTCCATTTATTTTGCTAGTATTGACAGCCTCAAAAACCTCAATTTTGTGTTTGACTCTTCTTCTCCCACAATATCAATATTAAGGCAGTTGTCAAGTCTCAATGGCTCCATTGTTTTAGCATCTCACAATCCAGCATCGCAATACTATGTCCAACCTTAGACCCTCATTCACTCTTATCCGTATGAACACCTTAGACCCTCATTCACTCTTATCCGTATGAACAAAAGAACGTGTAGTTGGCCTCTTTCTTGTAGTCCTATTTTCCTCTGACTCACCTTACATGGATTAAAATTTCTAGAAACATAGGTGAAAAGCGTTTACCAATTTAAAATATACTTAAATCTCTCTACGATCTAGTCCAAATCTACTTTGACCTTCCCCCATTCTTTGCTTCAGAGAAATTAGCTACTATTCATTTCCCAGCTATATCCAATTATTTTAGCATTGAAGACTTTATCCAGTTTATTTTCTTTCTCTGAAACGGCCTCCCTCCAAATTTCCTTGCCCAATCTCACCCTTCTTTAAAGGCCTAGATAAAATATCACTTCCCTTAGTAAGCCTTTCCTAATCTACACTTCATCATTCCCCCACTTACATACTCTATACTGTAAAAATCCTTAAATACAGACTACAGATTGACTAGTCACCTTTGTACCCTCAAAGTACTCAAGCCAGTGCCTTAATTCACTGTGAAAGTGCTTCATAAATTCTAGGTGAATGAATGAGTGAATGAATTCATGAAAAAGTGTTTAGATCTGTAGTCAAAACATTTTGTGGGATGCTAAATCTATAAAAATGACTTTTACAAGACTAAATAAAGAGTGAAATCAATAATAAAAACTCAAAGACAAATTCTAAGTCACTTCATTCTCTTATTAGAAGCTGTCATTCTGAAGTATGATCTGGAAAGAAATTTATTTCTACTTATCTGCTGCTGACATCTAACCATATCCATCAGCTGCTGAGCTCCAGGTGATAACTTTAACCCCATGGACTTCATTATGGGTTGGACCTTGTCAAGGTCTATCCTTGTTCCTAAAGCAGGAGAGCTTGTTGAAGGATATGCCAAAACCAATTTCACGTGTACCACAACTTTACTGATTAACACATACTGCTTTTTGCCAAAGGAAAGCAACTATTGCAATACAAAAGTTCAGGAAAATAAATAATGATATTAAACAATATTCACTACTTAAGGTTACTCTTTGCATTAATTAGCAAGAGTAAAGTATTCAGGAAAGCAAATATATATTTTAAACATATTTTCTTTTTTAAGTTTTCCCTAAAATTGTAATGGCAAAAACTTCAACTTATTATGCAGCTCAGAGGAACAATTTATATAAGACAATAAGGTTTTCAAACTAAAAGGACAAACTAAATACACAAAAGGAGGTAAGAATTCAACTTTTATTTATTTAAGAAACTAAAAATAAACTATACCAATCTGAGAATTAAAAACACTGCGGCTTGCTATACTATTCTGTAACACAAAATAAGGGTGTTTGGAAGCCCAACCAATGTGTTTACTGAAATAACTAAATTTAAGTCAGCCATTTGGAATTGTAATGGAGAGTCAAGATGGTTTTATGCAACCCGTTGACTTACACATTTAAAAAGATGAGGTCATGGTAATTTTCGAATTTGCCGAAGGATTCCCCTATTAGTAAAAGTCTGGCTTGGAACCCAGTTCTTCTGGCTTTTATGGCAGTGCCTTCTTTATTGCTTTATTTCATCCACGTTTACTGCTTTATTTCATCCATGTTTATGAACAAAAACATCTCATGTGGGGGTACTGACAATAGAGTAGCAATGTGTAAAGGAAACAGGGTTTAGAAGCAGACAGGGGTTCAATTATGACTCTGCTGCTTATAGCCTGGATAATCCAGGGCAAATGCCAAAACCTGAGTCAGAAGTAAAATGAGGGAAGAGAAAAACAATGACTTCACATGGTTGCTGCAATTAGATGTTAAAATTTCTAGTACCTACACCTGAGTTAGTACTCAAAAATATGCATCAGTAGCTATACATATATATATTACTGCCCAGAATATGTTTTAGTAGGCATGAGATTTCCCTAAATGAAATGATCCTTTGCATATACTTCCACAGAATAGTTACAAAATCTTCATCTTCAGAGATACACAGACCCACATGTAACACAGACACAGCTCAAACCACACCCACGGCACCAAAGAAGTGATTGTCTTCAACAATTAAGGAAAACCCCATTAATTTTATACACCTACCTCGCAATCTCCTTATTATCGCCTCTCTGCTGCTGCTTTTTTTTTTTTACTTTCCTTGGAGGTTGACAAAGGTGCCAGGTGGACACACTGATACCTTTCTGCTTCTTAATCTTTATAGCCTTCCTCTCCATGAAATATATTACAATTTTATTCACTGAGCATACTCATTATTTATCTTGTCCCATTAAAATATAGGCAACACTAGGGCAGTCATTCCAATTTATTTTATTACTGCTAATTCTGAAATGCCTTACTACAGTATCTGGTATTAGTAGGCATTCAAATATTTGTTTAATAAATCACCTCATTTAAGTGATTTTGAAAGCTACTAATATATACTACCTAAAACAATGTCTTGGAACAATCTGTTTTATAAGTTTGCTACTTGCCTGCTATAAAAATCACCATTTTTTCTCTTATTCTTAAAATAAGTATCAAAATCCTGTACAAAGTAATGTGGAGACAAAAAATATTACAATTATTTATTTTCATTAGTCTTCTAATTTACCCATGAGGTAGATCCAGAGATGAAGAGATTTTCCCAAGGGCATTCAGCCACTCAGAAACAGAACTGAATATTTTGGGATGATTTTTAGCTCAGTACCCTTAAACTCTGATGACATCACTAAGTTCACCTTGGTGATATTTTTCCCATCCAAGGCAGCAGTCCAAATCTCTTTAACTTTTAGATGCTTTTCTTCTTTAATGTTTGTCTTTCTGTATAGAAAGGGTGCCATAACCAAAATGTGGTTTCCTTGGCACCATAGTTTTACTCATATAAAGATAAGCAGAAGGTGGACTAACTGTATTAACAAACCTACAATAAACAAGTACATTATACAGAAACATTTGCAATTGTCAAGTCAGTTAAAATTTAGTGATGACTTAACTTTATTTTATGAGTGGAGGACTCCGATTTTAAATACTTTTTGTAGAAAATAATTTCATATTTACTAAAAATAAAAAAGAATCAAAATCATTTTCACTTTTATAGATGATCATTTTTAATAGTTACTTTTAAAAATAAATTGTTTCTAAGCCATTACTTAAAACCTGACAGTCAGTCTACCTGGTAGGGGACCAAGAGTTGGGATACCTTCTCAAGCAACCTGGTTACTAATACCTGAACTTATACTTGCCAATACACACAATATATAAAATAGTGATTTTTTTTTTTTTTGAGTTGGGGTCTCACTCTGTTGCCCAGGCTGGAGTGTAGTGGCATGCTTTTGATGATCATGACTCATGCAACCTCGACCTCCTAGGCTCAGGCAATCCTTCCACCTCAGCATCCAAAGTAGCTGGACTACATGTGTGCACCACTACACCTGATTTAAAAAAAATTTTTTTTTTTGCTTGTACATACGAGGTTTCATTATGTTGCCTAGGCTGCTCTCAAACTCCTGGACTCAAGCAATCTGCCCAGCTCGCCATCCCAAAGCGCTGGGATTACAGGAATGAGCCACCATGCCTGACAAAAGTTAACATTTTGATTTCTATTAAGGAGAGAGTAGTAAAGAATCTTCCTATATGGGACTAGAGAAAATATCAAACTAAAATACATTGAATTATCGTTTACATAGGCTGGTGTGGCACAATCTTGGGCTTGTGCACCATTTATAATTGGCTTCCTGACAAAATATTAGTTCAAAGTTGCAGACTGACTGCCAAATGAATTTTTGGAAAACAGATCCCTATGAGTTTATGGAGAAAGTCCAGAAGCAGCAATAAGTACTGCATCCTTTTCTGGACACTAACTAGTATGACCCTCAAAAACTCACCTCCCTTTTATTAGCCCGAAGTTTCCACAGTCATAAAAATGAAAAACCTGATCTAGACTGCCTAACCTACTATGCCTACTAGTACATTTTTAGCTTCTCTCCCCTGACACTGGCATCAATGTCAGAGAATCAATGAATAATGCAAAAGCTGAGGAAAAATAAAAGCACCAACTCAGAAGAACACGCTCCCGAGCGTACGAGGCACAAACCTGTCATCCGGGACGGTCCCAACCTTCTTGCCCCTGCTGGTTCCACAGTACTCCTCGCCGACGTATACCTCCATGTTCCTCGCTGAACTTAAAAGGCCCACAGAAACGATTTCTTCACCTCCATCAGGGTCACACGTCAGGTAAAGGAAGCAGGGGTGTCCACCTGGGCTGTCCCGGCTTCTCTTCAAAACCACCAGATCCTGGCTGAGAAGAACATCGGTGAAAACATCACACAGCATAGTTCTCTTGCCACCCCTCATCACCCACGTGTCAGGCCACAGGGACTTCTTCTAGCACCTCCACAGGCCCGGGGCCAAGCAGCCAACACGTGCTCCCTACAGGTTCAGAAGCGACAGATGCAGGCGCCGACATTCTACTCAAGCCCCTGCCACTGAGTCCGTTAGTTACGCAGGTTGCTGGACGCCTGTCGTGTGCACAGGAGTGGGGAGCAGAAGACAAGACAGACCAAAGCGTGTCTTTTTCGCAACCGAGCTGGCGGTCCTCCGGTCGGACCATTCTACAAGCCCGTTTTGCTCGACAGGGTTGGCCGATTTGCCTCGGGG